GGTCAGAGCCGGGCCGCGGCAGGTGGGGAACCTTGGCTTCCTCCATCACTGGAGCAAGCAAGCCTCATGTTCGCTTCAGCTGCGTGGCTGCCGGCCGCCATCTTTGTTAGCAGTTAATTTGCATATCGCCCTGATTAGCAGATGGGAAGCGTATCGGAGTTATGGTTAATTACCCTTTTTGTCTTTTATTAGATAGGATATGCAAAGGGTAGGTATAAGAGAAAATGGCTCCTCCTGAGAATTGCAGGTAATTCAATATAGCTGGGGCACAGAGTATAAAGAAAGAACAAAAGGTGAGAACAGAGAAAAAGAGAAAGGCCTAAACCAGTGGTCAGCAAACCGCAGCTTGCGAGCCACATGCGGCTCTGCGGCCCCTTGAGTGTGGCTCTTCCACAAAATACCATGTGCGGGCGCACACGTACAGTGCGATTGAAACTTCGTGGCCCATGCGCAGAAGTCGGTTTTTGGCCTGGGAGAAACAAGTATACGAGTGTGGATGGGAGAGCTAGAAGGGGTCTACCTCAGCGAACGTACCTCAATCAGATTGAGGACATTTTTAGCAAAGGCCAGCTTAGAAGTACCCTAATTAAGTTAATAACAATGTACCTACCTATATAGTTTAAGTTTAAAAAATTTGGCTCTCAAAAGAAATTTCAATCATTGTACTGCTGATATTTGGCTCTGTTGACTAATGAGTTTGCTGACCACTGGCCTAGACCATGGAGAGCCTTTTGTGCCATGCCTAGGAATTTGAATTTTATTCTGAATGGGGGGAACCACTGAAAATTCTTGAAGTAATGATGCAATATAGTAGAATTAGAGTTCAGAAAGATTGGAAGTAAGAAAACTAGTTAGCAAAATACTATAATTGTCAAAAGAGCACACAAAGGTTTGAACAAATGCATTATTTAAAGAGGAGATAAACAGATTTGGTAGACATTTAAAAGATGGAACCTAAAGGACACAATGCTACAAATAGAGTCAAATCACAGTAAGTACTCAGGTTTTAACTTCATACTTCTGGCTTTGATGGTAGGGCCACTTTCCAACATAATGAAGGAGGTACTTGTAGAGTATTTGTTTTGTTTTCTTCATGGGCTGGAGGATGCTCAAAGATAGGACAGAGTTTTTTGGATATGCTGATTTTGTGGGACTGCTGAAGAGAGATGTGAATAGGCACTTGGATGTATAACGTTAGAGTTCAAAGGAGAGATCTGTGCTATAGATGCATGAGTAATTAACAAAAGTGTTAATTTAAGCTCTGTAAATAATACAGGAAGAAATATAGAGAGATAATAATGGGACAAATGACAGAATTCTGGGAAATACTGACTTCTAAAAGTCTGATACAGAAAGAAAAGCACACAAAATGAAAAATGACAAGGGAATACAGAGAACATCAGGGCAGTGAGATACCAGAAAAACCAAGGGAGGAAATGGGTTCACAGAGAATAAAGTTATCAGTGAAAAATGTTGCAGAAGTAAGATAATGATTCAAAAGAATCTATTGCAGTTGGTGTTGGTAACCTTTGTCAGGGCAGTTTCAGTCAACTAATGGTAGCAGAAAATTATCTACTATAGGTAAAGCAATAAATGGGAAGTGAAGAAACAGAGACCAGTGTGGACTATGCCTAACGAAGCTTGGATGTTTAGAGAGAAAGGCGGGTTTTTAGGTGAACAGATGTCCGTTTTTATTTTCCTCTGTTCCTTTGGGGGTTTTTTATTTTTAAGATAAGAATAGGCTTCAGGGAGGGAATTAAAAGAGAAGAGGGAAAAACAGAAGAGGAAAAGTCCTTAAGGAAATGATAGGGATAAGAAAGGCAGAACAGATGGTAGAAGAACTTCCATCCAGAGGTAAAGTTGATTTTTCCTCTAAAACTGAAGTGAAGGCCACAAGTGTAGGAAGTGATAAATTTGTAAACATGAGAACAAGAAGTCAAAGTTCATTTCTTATAACCCACTCAGTGCTACCAAATATAACTATGTACTGTATCACTCTAGTGGGCATCTTTACACAGAAATAGGTTACAGCATAAAATATACATGTAAATTTTCGAAAACAATTTGTTTACTTACCTTCCATAACATCTTTTTCAATTATTTTGACTACTTCTGTTTGATTATTTGTCTGTTGTTTACGAATAGATGTTTTCTTGAATTTATTCACCATACATTCCTAGAAAACAAAATAGGAAGAATCCAAAAAATTATCAGTGAGCATTTAGCATATGCTCAGCACCATGCTTGGCCTATGAAACAGTATGTGTTATATAAGAACTAGTATCTGTTCTCAAGAAGCTTACAATTTAGTTGAAAAGACTATCATAATGTACCAATAAACTACAAAAGTATTCACTTTTCAAAACATATTTTAGGCAGATAGAGTAAGAGAAATCAAAGAGAGTAGACTAGTCAAGGTCTTCTCTGCCCTGGCCAGTGTGACTCAGTGATTGAGCGTCAACCTATGAACCAGGAGGTGACGGTTAGATTCCCGGTTAGGGCACATGCCCCAGTTGCAGGTTTGAGCCCCAGAAGGGGATGTGCAGGAGGCAGCCAATCAATGATTCTCTCTCATCATTGATATTTCTATATATTAGTATCTCTCTCTCTCTCCCTTCCTCTTTGAAATGAATTAAAATATATTTTTTTAATTTATAAAAAAAAAGGGGGGGGTCTTCTCTGGGCAGGTGAACACTTAAGTCCTAAATGACAGGAACCAGTTAAGGAATAATTACAAAAATTGTAATTAAGGGACACAATTCTGCGAGGATATAGAGGAGTGAATGATCATTGTATTTCTAGCCTTCTACAAATCCAACTCTTCTGCCCAAATTAACTGTATGCACAGTTATCAGTCCAGCTCTAGCACCTTCCTTAAGCATCCCTGAACCCAACTATCCTTCCTTACTCCAAACCCCTTCTGCACATACTATCATTCTTGGCCCTCCCACTTAACTGTGTCATCTGTGTATGAGTGTGTTCTATTTCCAAGTGTTGTCTGTTCAATGAGGGTAGTGTCTGAATCTTCTGTGCCTACACAGCACATTTCATAAATATTCAAGAAAAATTGTTGAACTGATGACCACACACTCATAATACAAAGGACACTAAACAGACACCTGACTCTCTGGTTCTGAATTCAGACTCCGCTACTTACTGAGTCATTAAACTGTTCTGAGCATGATCTTCCATGATAAAATAGGAGTTGTTCTGAGGCTCAAATAAAATACCAGAGTACTCAGCACAACACCACATACACAGACCCCCTCGATGGATGATAGCTGATTCTGCATCAACAAAGTTGTTAAAGGAATTCTTTTCCTGACACCTGTACCAGAAATTACTGTAAGAAACATAAAATGTCCCCTCAAATAACAAATCTAAATTATATTATACAAGAGGAATTCACATCTAATTGCAGGTTCATTTTAAAATAACAAATTAAAATTTTAGAAACAATACGGGAAATGGAGAACTACAAAAAATAAGAAATTGAAATTTCAGATAAAGTGCTTTTCACTTTAAAAACAGCTACTTACATGCAAAAACTCCATAACTACTTTATCAAATTTAGTTTGTTTCTGAATATGATCTAATGTTTCCTGGTGTGAAGAACTTTCCAGATGCAGTTCAATATCTTTTTCTTCAAACGTTCGAAATTTACAAAATGAACATGTGAATGCCATTCTATAAGGGAAAAAAAGTATTTCTTTATATATTACTTTATTTACTTACAGAGTGCATATAAAGATAACAATGAAACTAATTTTAGTAGCATGATTTCCTTTCTTCCATTTTATGGGTGATGTAAATTTAGCATAAGTCAGAAAAAAATAATATTTCGTTAAGTACCTATTTGGACAACATTGTCATTATACTACTTTGCATTTCTGACCCACCCTGGAGCTTCTGAGTATGAAAGATGGAATATCTATATCTATTTCATCTAATCCCAAACTCTCTATTTCTAGCCTAGACCAGTTAGAAAGCCAAAGCAAACCGTGACAAGTATCAATTTCCCAAGTTCCACTACCTGTTTTACACTCTGTTCCATCCTCCAGTTTCCAAACCACTAAAGTAGTATCAACACAGCCAGGTGGGACATCAGACAACCATAATTCACTCCCTTGGAGCTCTTGGATGACCAAAGTCCTGTTTCCTAAAGACCACTTCAGGATAACTAACAGTCCTGGTCTGAACAAATGCATGCATTTACAAGCTCTGGAACCATCCCAGAATGAATTCCCCCATTTTCTCCCATTTAATTGCTCCTATCTTACATATTTTCATTTCCTTTTCCTACAATTATAACCACCATTTCCTAACTGGTTTCTTTGTCTCCAGCCTCCATTTTCCAATTAATTCCTTAACACTACTATTAGATTTATTTTCCTGGTAAAGAGTATGGGATCTGGAGCCAACTTTTGGGTTGATATCCTAGCCCCCTTGTGTGACCTTGGACAATTAACTTCCTCTGGGCCTTAATTTTCTTATCTTAATGAAACCAGGATTTAAAAAATTAATACATATAAAGCCTTTAGAACAGTTCCTCGCACACAGTAATTACTCAATTAACTAGAGGCCCGGTTCAGATTCGTGTACCGGTGGGGTCCCTCAGCCTGGCCTGCAGGGATGGGGCCACAACTCACAGTCCAACATCCCTCAAGGGATGTAGTAGTGCACACAGGCGGCCAGGGAGAAGCCCAAGCCCTAGCCTGGCGCCACACTGCTCCCGCTCATCCAGGCCCCACTGCGCCTGCTGCCACGCCGCCATTTGGTAGGCTCAGTAGGGTCTCCATGCACCTGTCCTAGGGCAATACTGGCGCGCCCATGACCGAGAAGCGGCCGCGGGCTCATGCCCAGTCAGTCCTGATGCTGGTCCCAATCCTGGTCCGGATGGAGAAGGCATAGGGGCTGTGTCTACAGGAGAGGCTTGCGCTGCCATAGCTGCACTCGCCAGCCATGAGCCGGCGTCTGTGGCACTCTCGCTGTGGGAGCACACTGACCACCAGGAGACAGCTCATGCGCTGAGCGTCTGCCCCCTGGTGGTCAGTGCACATCATAGCAACCGGTCGAACAGTCGCTTAGGCTTTTATACATATAGATTATTGTTACTTCCTAAAGGAGGCAACAGCACATTACTGCTCAAAAAGCTTCATTGGCTCCTTATGGCTAAAAAAAAAAGTTAAAATCCTTTCAGCTGCCATTTAGAACAGCACCTGGTCTCTCCTATCTCTCTATTTGGCTTCACCCACTAATAGCTTTAACATTATCTGGAACATAGTATGTCTTCATTAAATGTTTTAATTAGCTTATACCTTTCGCCCCACTACAGTCTTTTTCAATCTAAATAGCTTTCCATTTCCTGAATATAAAGGAAACATTCCTGTTTCTTTACTTTTTTACCTCAAACCATGACCTCTACCTGAGCTGCCTAACAACTCCTATTGTCGCCCCCCCCGCCCCGCACCATTCCTAAATCTGTTAAAATCCACTGATGCATTTCCCTGCACCCCTATGTAGAGTCTCCTATATGACTACTTCATACTTTCTTTTGGCCCACTTCACCATATACTGTTTGTCTGCACCTCTCAAAAACCCATTCCTTTCCCTACAGTTCCCTACCTTCCCATCCTCTTTATTATATTAAAAACACTCAAATATCCAAGAATATATATATCACAAGAATAATTATTTTCTGTCAATCTCTTATCCTAACTCAAAGTAAAACTGTTCTGATAAATTGAAATAATTTTTAGACTATTTAAAAAGATACTTATCCAAAAATGACAATTTAATTGAACTAATAATACTCTTTTAGTTATGTCATCAGGTTTATATTCAGAATTATGGAAAAAACAGCTAGATGAAAGCTCATTTCTTTTATTTTCTCCAAATCACAATATATATTATTTTAACATGGATACATCATATCCAAACCTATAATTTTATTGGATAAAGTATTCATAGGGTAAATAGAAAAATTAATCCTATAATATAAAATCATCTTTGAACTCATAAACATTTGATACAAAACATTCATTTTAATTTATTTCTGCACCAAAGTAACTACATCCATTATCCTTGCCAAAAGAATATCAGAGTGGGAGATATTCCCAAGGACCACAAGGGGTAGCTGCCCCTTAAAATTTCTTTTTATGAGTTAATTCTTAATAAGTTTAATTTTATTGTTTCTTAGGTCCCAACAAATTAGAAGTAACAAACCAGAAAGAACACAGTTAAATGTTATTAAAGCTGGACACAAAGATTACACAAGTAATACCTTACCGAGTAGTATCAAACAACAAATCTGGGAATTAGATGCAACTGAATTTTCTTTTACTACATTTTACATAAATAAAACCAATGTATATATTAAAACCAAGTAATAACAAAGTATCCTGTTTAATATGGAAGAAAACTCATACATTTTAAAAATACCTCCTTAAAAGGGTTTGCAGATTCTGCTCTTAAAATGTTATCTTTTGAATAGTTTTAGACATCTAGAAAATTCAGTTAGCTGAAATATTTCATTCCCTCCATGCTATACACACAAGTTAACCTTTATAGAGCAAAACTGTATTTTGAATGGGAAAAACACTGAATTTACGTTTTCAATTTTATATTATTTATTTCCCTAGCATAAGTAGTACCTGGGCAGATTTCAGAGGGAAAAAGATAAATATCAATACTGTCTTTTGAACAAAACTTCCTAGTAGTCTCTTTTTTTTTCCTATGCATAACTTTACATCTTGCATATATATAGGGTGGCGCAAAATAGGTACAGTTGTGAGTACATGAAACAATTTATTCTTGTATTATTATTCACAAATTATGGTATTATTTTCCATATGAACAACTGTAAACCTACTTTTGCCCCACCCTGTATTTTTCTATTGTGCCTGCATTTTCTGCATATTGTTTCAGGCTTTATAACCAAAGGCATAAGAGCCAAGAAGGGATGTGTCTAACCTTATATATGATTGCTCACACTCTATTGCTATTTAAATAATGTTTTGGAGCTATTATAAATAATTATTATTATAAATAATGCTGTAATGGGCATATTTTCAGATTAGACTCTTCTACATTTTTAGGTTAAAAAATTCAAGACATTTCTAAAAACTGATAAACTGCTTCCCAGTAGTTATGTTATATAGTCACCAGAAAATTATGTCTTTTGTCTGTATCCCAGTTAGTTAATCAATATTTTTTCCTCCTAGCTAATAAAATGCTATGCTATAATTCAGTTTATTTGCCCTAGAATTATTACATAGCTGTAGTTCTTTCACCAAATTATGTATTGGGCATCTTGTTTCCTTATTTTTTTAAAAATTCTGGTTCGGTGATATTTATCTAACTTAAACATTAATCATTTTTCATGTTTATAATATTTTCCAAGTCTGTTTGCTTTCCTTTTAAGTTTTCAATTTGTATCTAAACAAATCTGGTCATTATTCCCTTTGTAATTTATTGTAGAACTTTTAAGCCTAGAAAACAAAATTTTCTTGCAGGGATTAAAATGTTCCATTTTAGTTCCCTGTTATTTTCCATTTTTTTGGGTTTATTAATTAATCTGGATTCATCCTTGCTGGTGTAAGAAGAGAATCTAAACTATTTTTCTTGTTATTGTTCAAGTAATTCCCCTTTCATTTGCAGTTATCTTCTTTATTATACACTAGAGGCCCAGTGCACGAAATTCATGAATTCGTGCGG